CTCTCTCTCTCTCTCTCTCTCTCTCTCTCTCTCTCTCTCGCTCTCTCGCTCTCTCTTACTTCCCTCTCTCTCTCTCTCTTACTTCCCTCTCTCTCCCTTTACTGACCAATTCTTTACTTCCTTCCCTGTGCTCCTTTCGTTAATTTTGTTAGCAGGTTACGATGTTCACAGGTTGAACTACTGTCACAATGAGGTAGCGGATTTAACTGATCATATGATGATTTGTAATATCAACACTATTTGAATTGGCCTCACTATGGTGGAATGTATCCCATACTGGATGTATCTCTTTCTCTCTGTGTATTTCTGTATTATTGTCATCCTTTTGTTAAAACAATACAAACTTGAATGGAAAGCATATCAGAATTTCAAAGAGGCCAACAAGTCTGTGCACAAGTTACAGGTGTACCAGACGGAAAATGAATTGCAGTGCCATTTTGTCTGTCATTTAGGGTAAGTCTCAAAAGTGAAGGCAAAAGGCGAAACTATACAAGCTGCAAGCTGTAATTGTATGGACTGGTGTTCATGGGCAAGTTGCTAAATTCTACCTTTTTAAAAATGACCACAGTACAAAAGCTGCATCTGTGAACCCCCTTTTCAGCAGAAATTGTATGCTGTGATCTTAGTGCAACTCCAACCAAAACTTTTCTGTTTAGTTTGCTATAGAAAATTTAAAGGTTAGACCACTGTAAAGTTTTCATTGTTCTCTTTGTATTTGTTTGGTAGACTTCTCCCTTCTGTGCCTGTCATTGGAAGTCTTGGATGTGACAATAAAACTCCAACTGGAACACAGTTAACATGCTGTTAAATAATGTGAGATGGTGTCATGAGCATAGGAAGTGAGGGGAAATAACAGAGAAAGGCAGGGCAAATCTCACTGGGGACACTGATGGCAATACAAAAGCTTACAAGTTCTGTATCATCAGTTAGGTCAGAGTTGTTGTTTAATGGATACCTGGAGCACTTGGTCTTCAATGGCTACTTTTCTCCATTAGATGTTGTATAAGCAAGCTATGGCTTGTAGTTTTGATTGACTCTGTAAACTATACATCATGCAAAGTCACAGTTGCATCGATGAACACAATCCTACAAATTCTGCCTGTGGAGGAGCAGTTAAAGCTAAACGTCTCTGTATATTTATGGTGTAGATAGCTAACGAGTTATTGGTGCAGATAACTCCATGGTGCATTACATCTGCAGTATGTCTTGAAACATTTACCTCTTACTTTTCAGGCTCCGTGGGGCTCAGGAGTCTTTAAACAAACTGACAGCAGAGAACAAAATAGAAACAAAGAAGATTAACCCTGCAACAAGTCTGGTAAATTTTATGAAAACATATTGTTTCTTTATGCTAATGATTAATAAGCTTTGACTTTTCTAATATCCTTTTAGCTGGTATACAAAAAAGTGGAAAAGCCAAATATGGAATACTGCTTAAATCTATAATACGGTTTAATATTTAGTATTCAGCTTGGTAAAACCTGCCTGGAGACCATTGATTTAAAGGTAGTACCGAAAACAATGAATGTGCCATAACAGCCACCTACAGTGTAAGGGTCACACATTAAACAATTAAAGGAACTTGATTTGTTGCGATGGGCAAACAGGTTTCCCTTAATGTTGTTTCTTGCTTCACACTGTTTATGCATACAGTTATCAGTAAGTAGTCAGATTTAGAAACTGTATATAATTGTCCAGCTTTTCATTGCACACAGACCTTCATTATTTGAAAAGCTACTGTGAATGACTACTGGGAACCCTTTGAAAACGTAATTGCCTGACAAACACTTCACTCAGCTAATGAGAAACAAACCGCTTCAAATAGCTGTCAAGATATGGGAATTTTTAAATACACAAAAACTTCCAATTGACTATATTTTCACAACAAGATTTTACACACACAGCTTGGTTACTTTTACTATTTCAGTCCGGTTTATATTGCTCTGGCCAAATATACAGCACTCTTACATCAAACATGCAGCAGTCCATATTCATTTCTTTGTCAGTAGACCATAGCTAGACATCACAGAGAAAATTCATGATAACTAGTCTAGTTAAACATTCAGATTGTAATTGCAACAAAGATCCAGAGGTATGGTTTTCTTCCCCTTTTTTTTCTCACTTTCTACGAGACTAGTAGTGGAAATGTATTCCATTTGATGTCATTAATATAGAGATGAGAGGGTTAGAAAAGTCCCCATCAGTCTGTGTACATGGATAGTTGAAAACGGTAAGAGGAAACTTGGCTATTCCCTTCCTATTACTCATGAGTCTTGCATGGGAGAAACAAGTCACTGAGACTGAAGTAGCAAACAAACAGTGGAGGAGTATGTAGGAGGAAATCTATTTTCTTTGTGATGTCTGACCTAGGTCTCCTACATTGTATATTCATACCTCACCCCTTTTGGTAGTTGAACATGTTGATGAAAATATTTCTAAAATTATCGTCTGGAAATTCTATTTCATTATCGTGGTAAGCCCTGCTTATCTCTTCTTATTCAGAGGAAAACGAATCCAAAAAGGGCAAAACAATGTGAATCATTGCTGCCTTTGGGCTGCACATTTTAATTGTTACCCCAGAGCAGTGGAAATTCCCAGGCTGTAATAAGCTGTCAAAGTATTGTGGAAAATGTATCTTCACCCTCAGACCGATGAAAGTGACTCTGATCCAGCCTGCATCGAAAGCAAGATGTCATTACACAGCCTTAATGAGAGATGTCTCTGTGTTATGTCTGGTGCAGCAGCCAGTCTCAGAAACAGGAGGTGGCTCGTGACCACTTTCACTGAGGTGCTAGGAACCAAGACATGTCTGTAACCTATTAGAGAAAGTTGCTTTTGCCCAACTGCTGTACTCCCTCAGGGTGGCCACAGTGACATCTGTCAAGCAGGTGATAAGCAGGAAATAAATACATTCCCTTTTCTACTCTTAAAACCTTTATGAAAAAAGAAGAATCTGAAATATTTCTAGAACTTATTCAGGGGAATGCACAAAACCTGTTTTATGGCAAAGGTTGTTTTCATGGTTCATCTTTTTCACTCTCCGTGTTCAGTCTTACTTTAGGCGATCAGGAATCAAATAATTTAAGTCTTACAGCAGAACTCTGGGCAAAATTGTTTTTAACCCTCACAGTGGGGCTCCCATCGCACTGCAAGGCTATTGGTGCTTTTTTTTGTCTAGGTTCTCATCCGGACCGTGGAATCAGCAGGCTGTTACACTGGTCCCTATAGCACTGGTCACAGGAGGTAACAGCAAGGCACAGCGATATAACCTGAGCCTCCAAGAAGGATCTATTTTTAAAGGTTTTTGTTTGAGCAATGGAGGGCTGGCAGGAAGGCGGACCTTACATTTTTGTTCATGCGCGGTTTACTATAAGGCAGCCCATTCATTTGAATGAGCTGCATAAAGTACCAGTATGGACAAAAAAAGTGCATGCACTATTTGTAGAAATTCACCCCACCTCAACAACCAGTATGTCACTTGGCACCCAGTAGTGATCACTGGCAGACAGTGATCTCCATAATTGTTTTCTGTTTTGACTGTATTTCCCATCACTGACGGTATGTTTTTTGTTTTTTTTGCTCTTGCTATACAGAAAGAGAGACTACGACAGAAAGAGGCAAGTGTCAGTGGCAATTAATCGCACCCAGCATAGCCAAAGAAATTAGTGTGTGTGGAGTGTGGCTTCTACAGTCAAAAGCATTGCTGCCAGATATACAGAGAAAAATCACAAACTGCTTGACAATGCTGGGAATCGGCAAATTACTTATGTAGCTGAAATCTCATATGAAGAGTTTCATGTAAATATACAGCTATATGGCCTATTTATTAGAGGGCTGAATTATTATTCTGTATATATGTTTAATGAAAGACAAAGCTTTAAGCCTGCAGATAGGTTTCCCACTTAATGTGGTGCTAAACAAACTGTAACAAAAGCTCCAGACTTTTAATAAACCTATCTGCAGCAATTATTTTATTTCTGTTACTTTTATAAAATGCACTTGTATATTGTTGTATAGTATATTTGAGATAAATATAAATCTATTTATGTACCTATACAGGATAAAAAAAGATCTATTATATATTGATAGTGACACTAAGTTCAGGAGTTAAATCTTAAAAGTGCATTCAAGTACCTTAACTCTTAACAAAAATGTATCTTATTTGTGTATCACTTGGATCTAGATCCTGAAATCATCTCTGAATTGGTGCGGACACTGTCCTTTCTTTTGGAGGGTGACTACTTTTGTTCCCCATGGTCCCTGTGTGGGTGTTGTAAAGTAGCCACTGCTCCAAGCTCACTCCCGTGATGGACTATAATCTCACGTTTAGTTTACTAATTGGTATTGAAATTGTAGTCCATCACAGGAGTGAGCTTGGAGTGGTGGCTTCTTTACAACACACACACGGAGACCATGGGGAACAAAAGTAGCCACCCTCCAGAAGGAAGGACCGTGTCAGCATGAATTCAGAGATGAACTACAGCCGAGTGATGCACAAATAAGATACATTTTGTTAATAGGATACTTGAATTCATTTCTGAGTTTAGTGTCACTTAAACTGAGCAGCTAAAAGCTTGCACTAGAGACCTGTATGGCATCTTTCACAAGGAGCTTTTTTGGAGTATTAAATGTCAGCTTGTGAGTCCCAAAAGGGTGCTCTGCACCAATCCAAATAGCATGTGAGGGTGATGCACTCCTTTTTTCTTTCTTTCTGTAAAGACATAAAGTGAAGACCCTCCTGTGCAAGAGAGCAACCAAAACAAATGTTTTGACCAGAGTGAGAAGGGGTTTAGTCCTCAGCCAGGTCATCATTGCGGGAGACCTTGGTGTTGACAATCTACCCCGCACATCTCTTTGGACAGCCATACAGGCTGTTTGTGTTTGACTTTTTTTGCCATGCTTCCTCTGCCATAACTTTTCTCTGCATATATGGGAATATATGGAGGGCTCATTTGGACCGTTAATAGTTTTGCTCCCAAGCAAAGCTTAGCCTGTCACAGCTGCGCCATGGATAGTGGGTCCCTGTCAGCGTCCTGGGCCCAGCAAGGATTTTGAGGATCTAACCTTTTCTCACTCCAGTGCAAACAGAAAAATCCTTTTTTGATTTAGTTGTTCTTCAAAAGATTACTTATGATCATGTTGGCAGCCTCATATTTTTGACATCTTTTAGGAAGAGTATACTCTCAAACGCCTGTTTAATAATATTGAAGCTTACATTTGAAAATATAAGTATGCGGTAGGTGAAAGTACTATATGTGCTGGGTTTTTTTTCTGTTTATTTTAGTCTGAAACGCTTGTGTGAAACGCTTGTGTGTATTGTATTTCATGGCACAATACAGACAAAAGCAGTTGAAGTAAATCAGTCTTAGCTTTGCGCATCGTTATTTGTGTTCTGCAGGTCTATGCAGCTGCCAATCTCTAGAATATACAATATTTGTTATCATTAATATTCTCAGAATGAAGTTCTCCATGTGGAGTATTTTGCTATTTAATAATACTATTCAATAAAATGCCTTTTTTTAAACTATTTAACCTGTATTTTGCCTGTCATTTACTGTATATCCTGGAAACTTCCTTTTTAAAGTGAAACCCAAGATTTATAGAGAACAAGAATCCCTTCTAAGTGAACTAGATACATTGTAAGGTTTTTTGAAACCTTTTTAGATTCCCTCGCATTTCTGTAGTGGAGGTGAGGATGTGGCCATTTTTAAGCGTAATTGTAGTTTTAAAAAGCATGCCACAAGTCCTCCTCCTGTGGTATTTGCAGCCTTATGTAGGAGGAACTCTGATTGCCTCTTAAAGTGCACATCAAACTAAAAACCTTTGTTGCTGTAGGAGAGTTTCCTTCTCTTTGGTTAAATGTCAGCAAGACAAAAAGTGATGCAGAACCCTGGGTAGCAGTAAAAATGTGACAGGGGTTTTAATCGGGTACCTTTCCCTCTCTATCCTATCCATAAGAAAAGTTTTTTTGCTGGACATACACTGTAAATAGCTGTCTATGCCTATCCTAAAACTTACTGCTAATTGGGTAACATCTGTCTTGGCATATCAGGATAAGACCTATAATAAGCAAAGGTTCAACATATTTTCTATGCAAAAGAAAATATGCCACCAAATCTGAAACATCTGATAGTTGGATGCCTGTAATATGATTTCAAGCTCCGTGTAGAGACATGCAAATAGTTTATTTTAGATAGCAAGGATACTAAGAAATTGAAGAGCCATTTATACAGTTGTGTGCAACTGTGATCAGTTTCACTAGTGCAACTGCTTTTTATAAGCCTAGTGGAACCGTGATCCAGGATACCCATTAAAGATACCAAAACTTCTTTTATGCAGCAAGTCAAAGGGACAAAACACAAATTCCCTATTCTTCTTTTGATAATGTTGATTACACAGCTTACACTTTTGTTTTTTGTATTGCATTGTGTAAGAACTTTTACACCTCAGAGTGGAGCATATTTTCTGATTTGTCAGCCAAAGTTCACATACACAAAATAACACTGTGCAGCTGCTGGATGCTTATTGAGCGAATCACAAAGACAGTACAGCAAGGGACAGTTGGTCATAGTGTAACATGTCAAAAACCTGTTGCCTTGTCTAGAGGTTTCACAGGAACAAGCAGTTATGGAGTGCAAATCATATTTTCTAAATCCATCTTGCAAAAGCTTTACTGCACTTGTAACTCTTGTAAAACACTGCTTTAGTCTACAACCGTTCCACCAGTCATCATCGTCATCATTATTATTATACAGGATTTATATAGCACCAACAGTTTGCACAGTGCTTTATTCATTTATTCATGATATTTAAAATATGATGAGTAGCAAAACTTTGCTACAGCAGCCCAGGCTATAAATTTAAGTTTCATTTTCATTCAATTCATATGTAGCTGCAGTGTTAAAATAATTAAAAACAGTATCCGCAGACTGGGCTCTGTAATTTAATAAATGTGGGTTTAGAGGAATTAAATTAAATCAGTCTTTGCCATAATTTGAAGGCTGTATGCAGAGTCATGAATGAATTCACTGTAAAGCAAAGTATAATTGAATTCAATTACCTAGGACTAGTATAAAACAAAGGTGCCATGGAATGTCAGAGGCTTCTGAGACAGGTGTTTTTCCTCAAAGCAGTTTTTTTTTTTTACCAGTACATATGTAGATGGGAAGATGGCAGGCATGATTCCCCCTAGAGAGGGCTGTTTAATAAATTATGGGCCCTGCATGACCTGTCCCATTCCTTGTGTTTGACCCTTGGCATGCATTGTCAGGGGTCCACATAATTTACCTCTGATGCTGCATATCAGCTGTCACTAAGTTGTGCTGGGAGTTGGATGTTTTTTTTAAGAAGGTAATTTTATCTTGTGTACACTGATCCAAGATGCCATTACATCATCATTCAGTGACAGTCATTGGTCCCACTGGTGACTGAGGAGAAAGATGCATTGTCTGCTCTATTCTAGACCATAGCATGTTTACTGCATGCTGTTAACTTAAAAGCAATGTACGTCTTACACTACTGCATATGTGTTTATACATGTGGTTTGCCAAAACATATTCAGGCAAAATATTCTATTGTATTGGCAGATTTAAATTTCTGAAACTTCGAATAAGGTTACACAGGCCCCTGTACCTGTGACATTACAACCTATATCAGTAAAAACAATACATAGCCAATAAAAATGTTTTCTAAAATGTTTCTGCCTCCTACTAGCAAATTACTCAAAACAGAACTAGTCAAGACAAATAAACAGAATAGTTATGTAAACGTTTGTTTATGTAATTTTAAGTTATCAATTCTTAAATCTGCAGCTTTATTTCTTCTTATCTTGTGGCCATTCTGTCATGAAGGTTCTTGTTTGGGCTCTTCCTGCTGTGGGTGGCAATTTATATCCTAATTTTATTTCCATGCTGTCATCTTGTTGCACACACTTCTCTGTGGCTGTGCCGACAAATATTGTATATTCCGCTGCTGAATATGTATACGAATGAATGCTTCCTATAAAAAAATAAAATGGATACAATCCGGGATCAGATCGCCACTGTGCAGTCACCTTCCCCAATTCATGTTCCAAACCCACCAACACACTTGTTACTCTCCTTTTGACCCTGTCACCACAGAGGAGGCTACACAGCTTCTCTCTGACACCCACCTCACCGCATGCCCTGGTCACCCCAATACCCAAAAAACCACCAATGGACCCTACCGACCTCAACAATCTCAGACCAATCTCCTTACTCCCATTCACCTCCATACTCATAGAACGCCTTATCTACAACTGCCTGAGCCGCGACCTCGCTGATAACAACCTTCTCGATCCCTTACAGTCAGGCTTTCGCCCCCTACACGCTACTGAAACCGCCCTCCTAAAACTCACTAATGACTTACTAACAGTTAAAACAATGGCCACTACTCCTTACTCTTCCTATTAGACCTTTCTGCTGCTTTTGACACTGGACCACCTGCTCCTCCTCAAAAAACTCCACTCGCTTGGCCTACAAGACTCTGCTCTCATGGTTCTCCTACCTATCTAAACGCTCCTTTAGTGTCACCTAGAAATCTAACTCCTCCCCTCCTCTTCCTTTCTCTGTAGGGGTCCCCTAAGGCTCTGTCCTTGGACCCCTTCTCTATCTACACCTCCTCCCTTGGTCAGTTAATAACATCACATGGCTTCTCCTAACCGTCCCCCCCGCTCTTCAAAAGACCTCCTGCTTTCCAGCTCCCTCATCAACTCCTCCCATGCTCGCCTCCAGGACTTCACTAGATTCTCTCCCATCCATTGGAACTTTCTACTCCAACCTGTCCGTCTATCTCACACACTGACTACCTTTAGGCGATCCCTTAAAGTGACATTAAACCCTCAGATTGTTTTTAACATAAACCAATACTATAATGTGCGCCTTACTGTAATCCATAGTAGTTTCCCTTCTCTTTGCTGCTCTTCCTTTTAAATCCTCATGTCTTCTCATGCTTGGGGAGAACTTCCCTTTGCAGCTGAGTGCCTCTTCCTGTAGTGCTGGCTCAGGTTGCAAACCTACACACAGACACCATGTATCCATTCCAGAGACAAGGCAGTCTGC